CAACCAATGATCAACCAATGACCCAGCCATTGACCCAGCCATTGACCCAACTAATGATCAACCAATGATCAACCAATGACCCAATCATTGACCCAACCAATGATCAACCAATGACCCAGCCATTGACCCAATCATTGACCCAACCAATGATCAACAAATGACCCAGCCATTGACCCAACCAATGATCAACCAATGATCAACCAATGACCCAGCCATTGACCTGATCAATGACCCAACCAACACCATCATCTCCCCGAGCTGCCCGACGCCTTCTCCTCGCCATTGCTGTGACAGTGGGGACAGCGGGGTCACCAGGGACCGAGCAATGACCCAGTCGATGATCAACCATTGATCCAACCAATGACCCAATCAATGACCCAACCAACACCATCAGCGCCCCGAGCTGCCCAATGCCTTTTCCTCACCATCGCTGGGGACAGCGGGGACAGCGGGGTCACCAGGGACCGAGCAATGACCCAATCGATCATCAACCATTGACCCAATCAATGACCCAATCGGTGACCCAACCAATGATCAACCAATGACTCAGCCATTGACCCAACCAATGATCAACCAATGATCAACCAATGACCCAGCCATTGACCTGATCAATGACCCAACCAACACCATCATCTCCCCGAGCTGCCCGACGCCTTCTCCTCGCCATTGCTGTGACAGAGGGACCGAGCAATGACCCAATCGATCATCAACCATTGACCCAATCAATGACCCAATCGGTGACCCAACCAATGATCAACCAATGACTCAGCGATTGACCCAACCAATGATCAATCATTGACCCAACCAATGACCCAATCAATGACCCAACCAACACCATCAGCGCCCCGAGCTGCCCGATGCCTTCTCCTCGCCGTTGCTGGGGACAGCGGGGACAGCGGGGTCACAACGGACCGAGCACTGAACCAGTAGATGATCCACCATTGACCCAACCAATGACCCAATCAATGACCCAACCAACACCATCAGCGCCCCGAGCTGCCTGACGCCTTTTCCTCACCATTGCTGGGGACAGTTGGGACAGCGGGGTCACCAGGGACCGAGCAATGACCCAAATGATGACCCAACTGGTCACCCAACCGACATCAAACCAATGTCCCAAAAAATGACCAAGCACTCACCCAATCAATGACCAACCAATGATCAACCAATGTCTCAACCATTGACCCAACCAATGACCCAACCAACACTCAACCAATGACCAACACGCAACCAACATCTAACCATTGACCAAACAACAGCCAACCAACACCCAACCATTAACCCATCCAATGACCCATCCAATGACCCAACCAATGACCCAACTATTGACCCAACCAATGACCCAACTATTGACCCAACCTACAGCCTACCATTGACCAACCATTGACCAACTGACACCCAACCATTGACCAATCATTGATCAACCAACACCCAACTGTTGACCAACCAATGACTCAACCATTGACCAAACAACACCCAACTATTGACCCAACCACTGACCCAACCACTGACCCATCCAACACCCATCCAATGACCCAGCCATTCACCAATGAACACCCAACCACTGACCCAACCATTGACCAACCATTGACCCAACCACTGACTAACCATTGACCCAACCATTGACCAACCATTGACCAAACACTGACCAACCATTGACCCAACCATTGACCAATGACCCAACCATTGACCAACAATTGACCAACCAACACGCAACCACTGACCAACCATTGACCCAACCATTGACC